ATTTTTACTGAAACTATGTTTATGATGATATATCTCATCGCATTTCATTTAGTTTCATCCAAATTAATTAAACTCTCAAATTAATCAACTTCATTTCATTTCGCTTCTCATAATTTTTCATGTTGTAATAGAATGTAAGAAGAAAATGTTAGACTTGGCTTAAAGGTCTCGTTGTCAGCCCATACAATAAAAAAAAAACTGGAAGACAAATATATATGTACTATGTATATAGCTTACTGGTTGAATTTTGTTTCGCGTAAATATTTCTCGTTTGAACGCTTATTGAATTCGACATGGTTTTTTGGGCTAAATTCCACGAACTCCTTCATGCGACCATTTATTGGAAAGGCGTAACAAAAAATAAAATCCTGTCTAAGCATGATGGTCACGACCCTCAGCAGTGAGGAAACGAAGCCAGGAGAAGGTGGAGAGAGCCCGCACGGGTCACAATTACCATCTTTTTTTTTGCCCTTGTAGGCAGACGAGCACACGGCCCACCTGATGGTTAGTGGTTACCGTCGCCCGTGGACTTCAGCAATGCCAGGGGCAAAGCCTAGCCGGGACCCCAACACTCATACAAATAACGACGTGACGAAGTAAATAAAGCTTCATTAATTGTTCGAGAAAAAAAAATTCATTACAACACCATTACAAAAGCAACAGTCAAGGTACATTGAACCCGAGTGTATTCATTACCGAAAGCAATAAGGTAATGACAGAATAGATTATAACTACAATGAAGCAATAATTGTTTCTATATTTTTTTCTCTCGCTTCAACGCTTCAACGCCATTGTATTGTATGTACTGTCCATAAAATATAGACACACAACTGTCTACATTCTTTATTCGTACATTAACTTTTTTGTTAACTAGTAACCTCGAGGGGTTATTCTAGATTCACCGGACTATTCAACCGGGTGTGTTGCTAACACTGGCTCTAGCAAGAGCAGTACTTCACTGAATCTACCACCGCATCGGAAACGCGACCCACCGAGAAGATCCGGCGAGATACTCAGTGGGCTGTGTTTATGGGTTAATTCACTCGTCGAGCCCTTCGTCGCAAGCGACGGGTTCGACGAGGACGGTGACCGGTGCTTGTGGTACCTAAAAGCACCGTTAATGGATCGGGAGGTTCCGTAATGACGTGTGCCCTATTACGGATAAAATGATTGCCATTTTTAAAAAAGTGGAGCAAGATCGGCATATCAGTAGTTACGACATAGCTGAAGAACTGTGAATTTAACACAAAACAGTTATGGCGGTTTTAAAAAAAATGGGTACACAAAAAAGCTCGATATTTGGGTACCTCACGAGTTCACTGAAAGAAACCTAATGAACCGTGTACTCATTTGTGATTCTTTATTACGACGTAATGAAACCGAACCATTTTTGAAGAAGCTGTTAACTGGTGATGAAAAGTGGATCATGTACGACAAGAACGTGTGAAAAAGGTCGTAGTCAAAGGCCGGTCAGGCTTCACAGACTGTGACGAAGCCCGGGTTAACTCGCAACAAGGTGATGCTATGCGTGTGGTGGGATTGGAAAGGCATTATTCATTATTCAAAGGCAGGACCATCGATTCTGAACTCTACTGCGAACAACTGATGATATTAAAGCAAGAAGTTGAGAGAAAGCGGTCGAAATTAATCAACAGAAGGGGTGTTGTTTTTCATCATGATAACGCTGGAGCTTGGCTGGGAGGTGTTAATGCATCCGCCGTATAGTCCTGACCTTGCACCTTCAGATTTCCACCTGTTTCGGTCTCTTCAGAATTCTTTAGGCAGTGTCAGGTTAACATCACGAGAGGACTGCCAAAACCAATTGTTGCGGTATTTTGATCAGAAGCCCCAAAATTTATATAGCAATGGGATCATGTCCCTATCTACAAGATGGCAAAAAGTTATCGAACAAAATGGTACCTACATACTTCAGTTAAATGTAAATAAACTATATTAAAAATGTTGTGAATTTTCTTAAAAATGCGATGAAACTTTTACCCCAAAACCCCAACCTATTTATATAAAAAGCTATTTCATCCCAACCAACGAATCGGGCTCAATCTGACCAAACAATTGTTGAGTAAAAATTCCATAACAAACGTTAACAATGCGTAAATTGAAGCAAAAATATGCGTTTAACATTCGTATAGCCGCGTGGTCCGTTCAAACGCTAAACGTCCTTGGCATTCGTGACATTTTTCTACATTAAGGCGCGCCTACAAACGCATGGCATCGTATATACATATAATAAATAGTACAACTAATACATACTGAAACTCTAAGTTTTATTTAGAAGATTAATTAATAAAAAAAAGGCTGTTTACGTAATACGAACAAATGTAAAACCAGCAGAATCTTTATACAAGTTCTTTGTTTTTATTTATAGCTTAGATCATTGATTAAGCTTTTTTTTCCTACCTAACCTGATAGCCTTGAGAGGCTATTTCAGCGTAACCTTAACTAGTAAGTAAGCTCACGGGGCTCAAACCTGACGACGTTGCTAACACGAACCCTAGCAAGAGCCGTGCTTCGCAGAATCTACCAGCGGATCGGAAACGCGACCCACTGAGAAGATCCGGTGAGAAACTCAGTGGGCTGTGTCTGTGGGTTAATTTACTGGACTTTATAATTATTTAACGATGACCGGGGTATTAAGCTCTCTGCTCAACCGCTGCATACTGAATACCGGCGCTCGCCGACATCGCTGACCTTGATACATGAGGTTCATGTCTCAATATAGCGGATGTCACGATTTTCAATGCTAGCCGGGTAGGTAGTCCCCGTGCTGGATTCCAAAACGTCCTACAAGCACTGGAGACGTTGTATTTTTAATGCTAGCATTTTTTTGTTTAAGTGACTTGATTTAAGATTAACTCCACATGTCTTCCATATCCCGTACCGAGTGTGGCGACTGTCTCCTGGTCCAAATCATGAGGCAGGTACCGATTTCTCTAAACAAACATGTACGTATGACGAACCAGATTTACTTTTCAAAATTTTATTTACCTACTAAACTTCTAATGTTGAATTTCATTTCGTCATTTAAAATATCAAATAAAATATTTCAACTCACCCAGACGTATCGTATTTATACCGAAGGAATATCACTTTCAACTGATTCTTACCTGAAAAACGAAAAAGAGGCAAAAATTAGTGAGATATTCATAGAAAAAAAATATAACACGCATTCTAATTACTAATATGACGTCATCTTAAGGTACCTTCCAAAAAAATATGTGACGCACGCGTTCACTTAAATGATTCGTACTCTTCCGTGACCTTGAAACTATTTAGCGTTCGAGAAAAGTCGATTGATAAAACAAGAAAAATAAGTCGAGCACTAAATCCAACTGTAAAAGTTTATTTATATCTCAACAATAGAAGTCATTGGGCACTTTAATTACTTTGAAGTTTTCTTCTCTAAGACTTTTTTTATTACTTAGACGGATATTATAAATGGTTACTGGATGGAGCCCATAGACATTTACAACGTAAATGCGCCACCCACCTTGAGATATAAGTTCTAAGAGCTCAGTATAATTACAACGGCTGCCCCACCCATCAAACCGAAACGCATTATTGCTTCACGGCAGAAAGAGGCGGGGTGGTGGTACCTACCAGTGCGGACTCAGAAGAAGTCCTGCCACCAGTAAAAACCTTTAAACACTATAGTCTTAAAATCTATAAAGAAATCTTATTAAAAATGGATCCAACAGTTACACAATGAATCGTCTTTAAATATCCGATGTCTTGTCACTAATGTTTTTTATACTATCCAAATAAACATAGCTTATTATTAATATCACTCAAATTCCCAATCCAATCGGGTTACGTAAACCCAATATTGTGTCAGCAACGTTATATACACCTAACAATCATTAACCTTATTCGTAACGCCATATGTCACGAAGGTGGCTGGTTGTACTCGGTCGAGGACTCCGTAATATGTAGTATAATATATTATTATAACCAGTGTAAAAAAGCATAACATCGCTGTCAAATCAAAATCTGCTATGTGCAAAAACTCTATTTTGTATTGACGAGTAAAAACATCAAATTTTATATGAAGGTGAATTTTTAAGAACTATATCAAATGAAAGCTATAGATAAATATTAAAGCTATAGACACATAATTGTTTTTTTTTAATCGGTAGATAGGGCTGTGAACTATACGAAAAGGTCAAAAAGTAAAAATCTCAAAAAGTGTAAGTACATAGCAGATTTTGGTTTGACAACGATTATAAGCTTTGTGAAGACTCTAAGTACATAATGTAGTAAACATTTATTAAATCGTTTGTCTTTAATTACAAAAGAATTCACAGCTCACGCAGTTAAACATTCAAAGGAGCCCGTGGACTGTTACGTGCTTCGAGACATAAGGCCAAAGTTCCTTAAATCAGGACTACCTAGCACTTCTGCGTTATGATACAGAAAAGTATATAATTATCTATATTACTCTCCAAGCGCATTAGGTAAAAAGTTATTATCACTTCAAGGTACGGTTCACGCAGACTGCTGAGCGCAACGGTTGGAGACTGAATAAAATCTACATGTATTTAAATCCCATTACGGCGATATTGTCGCTTGCCCATTTGCATACAGCTTCATCCTAACAAGTGGATCGTTTTGCAGTCTACTTACTATCTGCAGGGAAACGTACGAACTCAAAATCGTACCTACAAAGATACACAAATCAAGTTATACTTTTTTTTTTCTACCTAAGCCTTGAGAGGCTATATCAGCGTAACCTTCACTAGTAGATGAACTCACAGGGCTCAAGCCTGACGACGTTGCTAATACGAAACATAGCAAGAGCCGTCCTTCGCAGAATCTACCACCGGATCGGAGACGCGACCCACTGAGAAGATCCGGCAAGAAACTCAGTGGGCTATGTCTGAGGGTTAATTTACTCGTCGAGCCCTTCGTCACAAGCGACGGGTTCGACGAGAACGATGACCGGCAAGTTAAACGACGACGAGACAGCACAATACGAACATTACCTGTGATGTGCGTGGTGAGATCGGAGACGCGGGGGTTCTGGACGCCGACGGGTCTGCCCTGTGCTCGGCCAACACCCTATGCTCGTGTTTGGTCCCTACAACGGAATTCTTGACGCGTTCCATTTTAGCCTGGATCGCCTTGCGCGAAATGACCTTCGCCTTTTCATCTTTAGTACCACCGTCGGCTAGCTTCCTCATGAGGCGGACTGTAGAGGCCACCGAATGTTGTTGGGTGTCGGAATTGGTTCTGGACAGACGCGTGGCCGGCCGGGCTGCCGGGGTAGCTCCACCAGTACTGCTCCTGGTCGTTTCGTTTCTACTGAACGGTGCTCCGTCGTGTTCTGTGTCGGAATCAGCTGGTAGATAGCCTCCTCCGCCGACCGAAGACACGCCGGTCCGCAAAAGATTCTCGTGCTCAGCGTATCTGACTCTCTCGTCGACCGTGACGTTTCCGTTTTGAGCTCGTTCCAAGCCGCGCTCCATTTCGCCAATTTGCCTCTCCAGCTTACGAAGCACATCGTCGGAGGGCGGAGTTGGCGCATTGTCGTCCGGCGGATCGGGGGCTTGGAACGATTTCAAATGTATCGGATGGGCGCGACTGATCTCGAGACGTTTAGGAGCGATCCCAGTTGACGTCACCTCGTACTGAGTTCGCTGCGGCTGAGCAGTTCTTTCCAGCATCGCTAAGGAGACCGGTGAAGGAGGAGGAGCACCGTTCAAGGCCGACTCTTGGCTGTCCGGAGCGGGCGAAACTCTGGGCGCTCGAAAACTCTTTCTCATAAAATCTTCCCTTGTCAATTTCCTCTCCATTTTATCATCGCACTGTTTAACTGTTTCAACGTTATTTATCCGCTTTGTACTCAAATTATTCACTCACTAGTTCGAAACGTACATTATATCAAGTAAATTTATAAATAACGTTTAACTAAATTTAGATCTGAAAATAGAAAATAGCTTAACACGATGTCTGTCGGCTGCACCTGACGACGATGACTCCTTATCGATACGACAACGAGATAAAGGACTGAATCGTCAATGACACCAACCGATACTAGGCGATAACACAAATCGACCTAAATAAAACATTACTGTAACGTGAAAATCGAACAGCGAAAGATGCAAGACTGTTTTTTTGCTAATGAGAAACATTAATAATAGCTGCTGACGTCATATGTTCAAAGAAAACCTGATAGAATACAGTACTGACACACGAAGCTACTTTTCCATTGTTATTTTGGACACGATGATCGAGTATCGTGTATTGATCATTTTAATTAATGTGCACTGTGATTAATTCTAACACTGAGGACGTACCGCCGACAGACGGAATAATTTATTTTATTTCTCATCAAATAATAAATTAATTGATTATCTAAAAATATCAATGACGAATCGAACGATAAAACCTTTTTTATTTAAAAAAAACAATTACCAAGAAGACTTATACATAAAAACAGATGACGTGACATCGCTTGAAAAATACTCCTTTTGGCGCGTGGAAAAACTAAACCTTTTTTTTCCTTCCTATTCTAGTAACTTCCAAGGGTTATTCTAGATTCACCGAACCGTAAGTGAGCTCACGGGGCTTAAATCTGACGACATTGCTAACATTAACCCTAGCAAGAGCAGTGCTTCGCTGAATCTACCACCAGATCAGAAACGCGACCCACTAAGAAGATCCGGCGAGAAACTCAGTGGGCTGTGTCTGTGGGTTAATTTACTCGTCGAGCCCTTCGTCGCAAGCAATGGGTTCGATGAGAACGATGACCGGTGCTTGGGGTACCTACCTAAAAGCACCGTTAGTGGATCGGGAGGATCCGAAATGACGTGTTTTGAGCGACGTCGACTGTTTACCATTTGGTCCGCAGGATCGGGAATGAAGTTAACAGCGGCCGCGATGAGAGGGTTCTCGTGTCGTGCCGCTTTCTCGAAACGAAAGTAAACCTACCCACAGTTCTAGCATATCAGTGCATTGACCCGGCTCGGTCAAATTGACCCGTATCTATAGGCGTTAAATACAGAACTCCAACATGACAAACGATTTCGCAGTAGGCAGCGGCTTGGCTCTGCTCCTGGCATTGCTGAAGTCCATGGGCAACGGTAACCACTTACCATCAGGTGGGCCGTACGCTCGTCTGCCTACAAAGGCAATAAAAAAAAACGATAAAACCAATAACACTTGTTTATATTTTTGCTAAACCCAAAATGCCCATCTGTTATGTTCTACCCACACATGCCCCTAATGCAGTATAGCCGCTGCTATTACTACTACACAAAAGATTGGAGCCATGCTGTGAGATATACAGGTTTCTGAACCCATTGAGTTTCTCAATGGGTTGCGATTCGAATCCGGTGTTAGATTCAGCGCAGCACTGCTCTTACTAAGACTAGTATTAGAAAACCGGAGAAGCTGAAACAGCTCCTTCGGGCTACCAGCGAATAGGTGGAGAAAGAAAACCAGGATCCAGTAATCTCTCGACACCCAACGGTCTATTGATAAAACAATCTAAAACCACAACAAGCAATTAAGGAACCACATTCGGTAAAGAAACACAAATCGATGTTGACACGACAAGTGTATTCGCAGACGAAGCGGTTCGAGGTTCGGTTCGCGAATGGCAACGAACTGTCCGATCTGGAAAGAAAGAGACGAATGAGATAGTTAGTCAGAAGCTTCTGACTACGAGACCGTTCACCGATGCAACACACACACACCCAAACAGGCACAAAGCGACCGTAGCGAATGCTGAAATTGAAACAGAAACATTTCCCACCACCGAAACAGTTGTATCAACAACGGATAAAACGAACATAGTGCACAATACAATATTTTTGGACGCACAACGAATATGAACGGTGAATTGGATTTTTCGTTTCTTAAAACCAGACTTCTATATTATAATCTAATGTAAATTATTAGAGTTGAATTTAAAGATGCTCTTGTTTGCATTACATTGAGGTTTCAATTCACATCGCTCACTGACTCTGCAATGCGGACGGTTCTCACACGTTTTTTTATTGCTATGAAATGATATAAATAGGTACATATATCGATCTTTGGTTATCGTAGTAAAAAGAATCCTAATTCGTGACCCAGGTACGGGACAGTTCACATGACTTAATGAAATGCTAATACTACATCGCATAAATATCTGTATTGGAACTGGAAGGGATTGATCAAATTTACCTTCTTTTTTTATTGCTTAGATGGGTAGACGAGCTCACAGCCCACCTGGTGTTAAGCGGTTACTGGAGCCTATAGACATCTACGACGTAAATGCGCCACCCACCTTGAGATGTAAGTTCTAAGGTCTCTCAGTATAGTTACAACGGCTGCCTCACCCTTCAAACCGAAACGCATTAGGACTCACAAGAGGTCCTACCGCCAGTAAAATTTTGTCGGTACCGTAATAACTTTACATCGAATGTGTGTCCCTGATACGTCATAAGGCCGTTAAAGCAGTATTAGTGCTCTTTGCAAGAACAATACGAAAATCGGATTCTTCTCCCAAGAGACAGACCTACATAAAGTATTTTCTTCGCGGCACGTCCTTTTAGGACATTATTCAATTGTCGACAAGTCACAAACAACAACATCCTAGGCGTTCGTGACTTTTTTTTATGAATGAGTGATTATTATATGAAGTTATTTGTTAAGGAAATTTATTAATATATTCCTTTTAATACTGTATAAACTATTAGATGTGTGTATGTATGTATGTAATGTATGTATGTATATGTGATTGTGTATATATTTATGTATATACTTTTTTTTGTGTATGAATTTGTAAGTTAACATAAATTTCATTGCACCTTCCACTATTCACTCTGCACTACCTTTGGTTGACTGGTAGAGAATGCCTTAGGCATTAAGTCCGCCAATGTAAATTTTACATGAAGTGTAATAAATAAATAAATTATTGGTGGCCCAGAAGCCTTTACAATTTCACCAGGAATTTCACGGACCCCCGTGACTACGAAAAACCCGTAAAGTATTGGAAAGGTAAAAAACAACATAAAGTAACATTATAAAATGCGTGATTAAACGGTAAAAGAAATATATATTTTTTATTGCCCTTGTGGGCAAACGAGCATACGGTCCACCTGATGGTGAGTGGTTACCGTCGCCCATGGGCTTCAGCCATATCAATACCAGGGACAGAACTAAGCCGCTGCCTACTTAGACTATTGCTTACATTAACCATTAGAGCGCGAGCCGTCGACAGATCGACTCTATTAATTATAGGTATTAGGTATCGACCTGTACGTACGTACGTATTTTGCTGTGAATTCAGCATTATTATTTGTATTTGAAGTTAAAAAAATTATAAGGTCCTTTTTTTTCAAAAATCTTTTATTAATTTCTACAAAATATCTGAAAATAAGCTCAGCACTAAAAGAGTAAAAAAAAATGTTTTATAAGCGTTAATTTAATTAATAAACACTAGTGGTCCCGCAGTAGTCGAAATTCGACTATAATTAATTGAATATTATGGTCCTATTGTTACATATTTCGCCAAGACTACACTATAGACAAATACTCGTAATATTAAAGATAAACAATACTAACCTATTCTCAATTTGACTACAGACTTTATGCAATGACAAAAGTTTGACAATAAACAAAAAGTATATGTGTGTGTGTCAAATACATGGTAGTGTGTGTAATGTTTTCTTTATTGATTTAATGTGTCTTTGATACATTCTTTTAAAAAAAATATTAGCATTGTGCACATCTTCTCTATATTCTCTATAGGTGTGGAAAATTTCATACTCCGCCGTCCGGGCAATTTTCGTAAAAAGGGATACAAAGTTTTTGCTTCACGTATTAATATATAGATAACGCCGACCAGAAATACGACTTTAACTTCACCGTATACATAGACTTTCTTATACCTAACCTAAACTCGCGTCTGACTAACCCCACACACTAAAACCACACGATTACATTTTAATGTGACGTCACGAGCCTTCAAACAAAAACTTTCAAGAACACACAATCTACAGTCATCTCATATAATATTAACACTGACTAATAATATTCGTTTGAAATATTACATATCTCGGTTTTTTACATACTTGCATTTTCGCGGCGACAACACAATGCAACAGATGGCAACCAGAATGTCGTATGAATCACAATGTTTACTCGCTGTTACAATAGAACACGGCACAGCTAATACACGACTATTTTGTTTAAGCTACATTACTTACATTATAAAATACGTGACGTTATGAAAATAAAGTTTTTTTTTCTACCTATTCTGGTAACCTTGAAGGGTTATTCTAGATTCACAGAACTAGTAGGTGAGCTCACTGGGCCCTAGCTTGAGCAAGAGCAGTGCTTCACAGAATCTACCACCGAATCGGAAACGCGACCCACTGAGAAGAACCGGCGAGAAACTCAGTGGGCTGTGTCTGGGGGTTAATTTACTCGCCGAACCCTTCGTCGCAAGCGACGGGTTCGACGAGAACGATGACCGGTGCTTGAGGTACCCAAAAGTACCGTTAACGGATCGGGAGGATCCGTACTGACGTGTTTAGCGCGACATCGACTATTTACCATTCGGTACATAGGATCGGGAATGTAGTTACCGGCGGCCACGATGAGAGGGTTCCCGTGTCGTGCCGCTTTATCGAAGTGGCGCACTGATGCTGACTGTAGATACTTACTGTTGGACTCTAGGTCCATATCGTCGTGGATGTCCACGTTTCGGTTAAAAAAATTGTAATAATAACGATGCGTTAGTGTTTTAAATAAATCAGCAACTTTATTAAAGCACTAGCTATATTTTGTGACCGCTTATTTTCCACGCAACCGACACTAGTCCGGTTATAAATTACGATTCATAACAGCGTTATACGTATAACAATTAATTATATGGAACACTCCAGAGTTAATGAACGATAAAAGACTTAATTTCCTTTTTTGTAATA